TGCTCCGTTCGGGCTGCGGGGGCCGCGGGCGGCCGCGTCCTCCCCGCCGCGCGCGGCGGTGGCGGTCGGCAGCTCGGCTCCGCCCGCGGAGCGGCCGCGAGCTCTCGGCGACGGCGCGGCGGCAGCCGAGGCGTCGCCGCGCTCGCCTCCCGGGCAAGCATGCGCCGGGCTGACGGGCGCCTGCTCGCGCAGTGATGCCCGCGGCCCACAGCCAGTGCCGGTCCCTGAGACGCGTCTCCCGGCTGGCTTGGTCGATCGAGGTTGGAGGCCTGGAAGTTGGCACCAACACCAACACAGGGGGGTTGCCTCCACAGGGGGAAGAAGATACTAGATTTCGGTGTTGGTGGTAACATTTCGGCCACCTTGGAGGCCAGAATATTACCACCATCACCGAGATCGGATCTTCTTCCCTCGGGGGAGGCACACCGCCGAAATTGGTGTTGGTGTCAACCTCTAGGCCTGCGACGAGGGTGCGTTCGCGAGGGGCCCCGTCTGGGTCGCACCTGGGGCAGCGCCGCGGCCCCGCCGGGAGAGCCTGACCAGCCTCGTGCCCACCTCTGCCGCGAGGCGGGCGCGCGGCTTCAACGCTCAAAATTTGCTGTTTGCGGCGTTTCGGTCTTGAACATGCTTCAGCGCCCGGCTCGGGCTGCTGAAATTGGTGGTTTCAGCGTGTGCTCAAAATTGCTGTTTGAGGGCGGTTTGGTGCTCTAAATGCTCGAGGGCTCGGTCGGGCCGGAAGACGCCATCGGCCACGCGGTGCCGAAGAACGCTCCCTTGTCATTCTGGGCCCGGGACGTCTCGAGCATCCGGAGCGCGAGGTGCTCGGCCCCCTCCGTCTTGGGGCCCGCCCGCGCGCGCGAGGGGGCCCGGGGCGCGGCCGAGGACGGCGCGCAGTGTGGTTCGCCACGTGCCCGGTCCACGCCCACGCCGAGCAGCATCTCGAAGCTGCTGTCCAGCGCGACGTCGACGCAGGCGTCCGCGCCAGCGCCGTTCCTGATGAGGGCGCCATAGGGCGCCGCCGCCGCCGCGCTTCCAGAAGGCGCGCGCCCGCCCGGCCGTCTAGCCGAACGCGTCCAAAAACCTGAAGCGGACCGGCACCGCCTCCGCTGCCTTTAAGTCGGGCCTGTCCCCCTACAGGGGGATTTTCGACGAAAAATCAAAAATACCCCCCAAAAATAATCAAAAGACAGTCCAAGAATAGTCTGGGGACTATTTTTTTCCAATATTTTTTGACCCTTTTGGGGTAATTTTGGGGCATCTTATATTTTTCGTCGAAAATCCCCCTGCAGGGGGACACGCCCGACATAACGTGGCGGGATGCAAATGGGGGGATAAGTCCAGGGGGGGGAGAGACGCGCAACCGAGGTACAAGTTGTACCTACGCCCCACGGAGAAGGTACAACTTGTACCGACGCCACGCAAACAAGGTACAAATGGTACTGTTGACCACGTCCGCGACGTGTGCGAGGATGTGAACGGGGGGGAGAAGGTACCATTTGTACTTGCATCCCGCAGAGAAGGTACAAATTGCACCCCAACAAATTTGACCTTTTTGGGGTATATTTTTTGGGGCATCTTATATGTTTCGTCGAGCATCCCCCTGTATGGGGGGCACGCCCGACATAATAGCGCTACCTCGCCTCGGGCCTCGGCCGGAGCCGGCGCGCCCAAGACCCTCCGGGCGCGCGCGGCTCCCGGGCACTGCTGGCGGGCGCGCGCCCGCTCCGGGCGCGCGCCGCGCTCTCCCCGGCGCGGAAACTCGCGGCAGAGCTCCGCGCCGCGCCCGCCAGCGGTGAGGAAGCGTCCCTGGTGGTCCTTTTTTGAAGGGGCCCTGGGGCACACGAGCAAATACACACAAATAACATGGATGCCCCATATCTTCCCCTATCTTCTGGGTTTCCGTCTCCTCCCGCCCACTTCCCACATTTTCGCATATTTTCGGGGGAATCGGCGATTCATTGTGTCTGTGTGTTTCTTTCCCTCCTGACTTTCCTGGGATGCTTGGCAGCCTGCGGCGCTGCTTCCCTGGCCTCCTCGTCTCGGGCCGGGCGGAAGGGGGGGGGATAGCAATCGGGGCGGGGTTGAGAATCGGCTCACGTCGCTGATTCTCCCGGCGCCTCCCTGCGCCGGAGGCGGCCATGCATCGAGGGATGGGCTCGGCGGCGGGGCCGAGACCAGCTGCATGCAGCAGATTTCGTAGCCCACCCTTCCCCTTTCCCTCCATTTCGTTCGGCCCGAGGAGGAGGAGGAGGAGGAGGAGGAGGAGGAGGAGGAGGAGGAGGAAGGAGGAGGAGGAGGAGGAGGAGGGGAGGAGGAGGAGGAGGGAGGAGGAGAGGAGGAGGAGGAGGAGGAGGAGGAGGAGGAGGAGGAGGCGGAGGAGGAGGAGGAGGCGGAGGTTCGTTCGGCCCGATTGTCCCGCTGCTTTGCCGCCTTCGTCTTCTTGGCCGCCGGAGGCTCTGCGGAGCGCGTGCTGGGCCCGTGCCCTGCCTGCGGGACGTGAAAACGACCACAGCCACTGCTTCTCCTTTGTTGCCGCCCTCCAGCCACCAGAAACAAAGCAGTGGCTGTGGTCATTCTCGCTAATCAAGCAGCTTGGCGCCAGGGAAATGACCACAGCCACTGCTTCTTTTTCGGCCGGCTGGGAGGCGGCGCAAGCAAGAAGCAATGGCTGTGGTCAGTTTCCCGCCCCGCACTGTCGGATCCCCGACGCGGGCCGCATACCCGCGCGCGCGAGCAGGCCCTCCGGCGGCCTCCGCGCCTCGCGCGGTCCCAGTCATTGCTGTCCTCCGCGGCGGCCGCGAAGACCTCGCTCCACAGGGGCTCCCAACTTCGCGCCCTCGCGCTGCGCGAAGCGCGAAGCGCGAATAACTTCGCGCTCTCGCGCCGCCTCCCAGGGGAGAAGAGGAGGACGAGGAGGATTCGGAGCCGAAGCGCGAAGCGCGAATAACTTCGCGCATTCGAGGGCGCCCTTGGCTCCAAGCGGGGATGAGGCCCGAGCTCTGGGCCATCCGGGCCACCCTGGGAAGATGCTCGGCGCGGCATCGGACCTCGGCCTTCTGGGAGAAATCCCAGCATTCCAGGAGCTCGCGGCACAAGGCGGCGAGCGCCTTGAGATAGGCTTCGAGGGCGACCGGGATAGCCGCGTAGCAACCCTCGCCGCGCATCCCCTCGGCGGGGAGACGGAATCTGAGCAACATCACCTCGCTATACACCCACTTGACGTTAGTCGTTGGCTTAGACCTGTGCAGCTCTAACTATCCACGTTCTCCTGCGGCTCCCTTGAGCCGCATGGCGACGGACAACGCGTCCCACCATCCACCCGAAAAATGACAACTCCGGATTGTACTTCGCAAACACGTTTGTTTGTATCTCGTTGATGCATCCTGGGGTTACAGTGGTCCTCCCCCTCCTCCCCCTCCTCCTCCTCCTCCTCCTCCTCCTCCTCCTCCTTTTCCTTCCTCTTCCTCCTCCTCCTCCTGCTCCTCCTCCTCCTCCTGCTGCTGTTGCTCCTGCTGTTGCTCCTGCTGTTGCTCCTGCTGTTGCTCCTGCTGTTGCTCCTGCTGTTGCTCCTGCTGCTGTTTGCTGCTTCCTGCTGTGCCCTGGCTGCTCCTCTTGCTCATTTGCTGGCTACCTGCTGTGGGCTCGGGCTGCTCGTGCTGGCTGAGCTGCGCTTCTGCTTGCTCCTCCTCCTTTTCCTCTTCCCTCCTCCTCCTCCTCCTCCTCCTCCTCCCTCCTCCCCTCCTCCCTCCCCCCGTACCCGTCCTCGCCTGCCCTCCTCCTCTCTTCCCCTTTTCCTCCTTCCTTTTCCTCTCCGTTCCTCTCGCCGGTTCCTCCTCCTCCATCCTCCTCCTC